AGTTAGCTATTTTACTCTCTTTTTTGAGAAAAATCGCTCCCCTTTTTCTAAGAGTGTATGGGGCGTATAGGAACCTTTAGGATTCCTTTAGGTTCCTATAAGACATTTTCGTAAGGGCGTTGATGCCCCTAATCCGTCATTCTTGACTGGAATTTCCACCATGGAAATAATTAACGTTGGCGAGCCATAACTTTATCTTACCTGAAACCATCATTCCTTGACAGTCATACAGACTGGAATGTGAAAAAGTTTCAATACTGCTCATTGCTGAAACGTTGCAATCCAGCTTTTCTTTCAAGCTCCTGGAGTCAAGTATGTGATGCCGACGTCTTTGCTGCAATTAATGATGTTAACAATGAATTTTTTTTCCAATTGCGTTGCTTCGTGCGTTATGATTCAAAGTAATCGCCATGTTCCAAGACGTTTCACAAGTACATTGGGTTGTTCTCTGAATAATGACCGGATTAATCCTAATGCCTGGCCATATTTCCGCTACAATGAGGTAATATGTCCTCTCTGGACTACCTTGAAAAGAGTCCAATTTTGCAGGATCCATAGGTTTTTGTTTCAATGTGCCTTTCTGGGATTGAGTGATGGAGAAATCAATCTATGTTTCCGAGAAGATGTCGCAATGATTCGAGTTTTTTGACAGTTTCAGCCAGGACTCCCTTTTTAGCGTCATATTCCCCCAAGTTAACCCTACACCTTTGATAGAGTTGGATATAGAATAAAACATTAAATTGGAATCACAGTGATCGTTGTTCTTTCAGAAATTCAACGTGCTTGAGCTACTCCGTGACATACAATTCTGGGACTTTGATCTGCCGCTTCGGATACCGATACGACGAGCCCGGGACTGCCGATGCAGATAGCAAGTTCTTCTAGTTCAGAGATGTGCCGGCAGGTGAAGGAATTTTAAGAACCCTCAAATATCCTGTTGGGGAATCTTTGGAAAGGCGAATGAAGGAGATTCGCCTTTTCCATCTTCAATTGTCTGCAAGGTTTTTTTTCCCCGTTTTCATTGGCCGCTAGAGGAATCAACTAGTAATTATCTCTTGCATTACTTTGATACCGTCATGACAAGAATGGCGTCAATCCCTTTCTCCTATAAGAAATTTCAAATTATTTGTTTTAACATTTTCCTGACGATTAACCCTTGAAAACGTCGATGTTCCTGAAACTATAGAAATTTCGCGTTGTAATCGAACGATGCAGAAAAGCATAAATGGACTTTAGATGATGGATATCTTTATTTTAAAACGTTCGCTGCCACCATCCTACATGTGATCAGGTACCCCTCACTTCGCCGTTTTTCTTAGCGTCCAAACAACCGATAAAAGAAAGCATGTGTGACCGACCAACATGCGTTCGAGAGCAACATGCATTCGAGAACGTCGTCTAACAAATATTTGAATGAGAAATCTTCGCGCCTGTTTTTCTTCGACCTAAGTGGGATACGGTAACCTAAATTTGAAAAGGCTTATCTGACCAGAAAAGCTTTATCCGAATCATTCTTGCCAAATAGTTTCGATGTTAGTCTCTTCATCATACCATTAAGTAAAATAATTGACTTTTCCCGAAGGGTACAACCTGGTGCCAGGTACGAGAAGTTACGTGAAGATGACCGTGCGGAACATCCTTGGATATGACACCGCGACGGCGTGCAAGAACGAAAGCAGTCTCCTGTTCTCCTCCACTGACGAAGCGGTGCACAACTACACGAAGCAGCTGTGGGCCAATCGACTGTCTGGGAACAATTTCGTGATCGGTGGGGTGAGCGTCGCGAACAAGGACACTTGGATATTTCCAGATGGTGAGTCTTCTTCCGTAGTCTTCGTGTGGCGAGCCCAGATCCCAGACGCTCATGTATTTGAGCGATGATCCTAAAATAATTTCATCCACTTCTTCATCGTGCTCTAGGAGGAGGGATACTCACTATGGCCTTGAGCCCCCAAATATCGAAGAAATTATATATGCCCCTAAAAAGACGCATTAAAAATGCATTGATAAAAAAGCGTTATTATGACAAAATTATGGTTTCCCATGGTTAATAATGCTGCACCACTTTATCTATTAGGAATTAATGCATCAGCCTGATGCTTCCTTTTTCTATTTTCTGTCAATCAAAACGACGAACAGTTTCAGAGTGACTTGAAAGATATAATCTCGGCATTGCGCTGCAGTCATTCGACGGCGAAGCTCTATAGTTCTTGAGGCATTCAATTATGGCCCAAAAGGGAAGGGGCTTGAGAGGAAAGGTAAAAGAAAGTTGCATCAGTCATGACACCTCTCTCAATCCTACACTCCTCTGGCTTTCGGCCTGTTTTCTTTGTGAGCCTTCATTCTTGGCCTGTGAAATTCTAATTGATTTATTGGCACACTACTATGGCACTACTATAGCTTGTATACTAATTTTTCCCACCAAGATCGGTTAACTTTTTGGTGGACCTTTTATAGGTGATGAGGGCATATATGTTGAATGTCTAGATTATGATGAGAAGAACCTCTTTTGCACATCATAAACTGACTAATAAATATATTACCTAAGCCAAATTACTATCCAGTACCCGTAGTTCAATGAATTTGACAATGGCCCGAAGTTTCTGTCCTCGAGTAACCCAGGATGACCTAAAATTATCCAGA